CCCCAAAACCCCAAAACCCCAAAACCCCTCTAAATAGTAAAAATATTGTAAATAAACATGCCTAAACGTATTCAAGCAGTTAGAAGAGGGAATTTCAGAGAGAATAACAGAAAATCTCAGATCGCTACTAGGACAAAGAAGACCTCAGCCTTTTCAAGGTCTAATGCATCGTCTAATCCAAACAGGCCTGATCCTCATAATGGAAAGGGGCACTTGAGAAGTAAGGCGACTATTAATAGGCTTAATATGTACAATGAGAAGCCTAACTATGAGAAAATGAAGAAGACTCCAACAGATCCCATGGCTGGAAGACTCTATAGTAACAGAAAATACTGGGGAAATACCAGACAGTTGGATCAGAAAGAACTTGATAAATATACTACAGCTTTGAATAAAAGTTTGGAGAGCAAGGGAAGCGGACACTCCATTTTAATATCAGGAAGAAAACTCCCAGTGAGCCTCTTAAAGGGTGCTGATATCAAGTCATCTAAGAATGTAAAGCTCCTTGATATTGAGAGCTTTGAGGATACCTTTGGAGGCAAGGCTAGAAGAAAGAAGCCAAGAATTACCTCATTTTCTCTTGAGACTCTTGCAGAGAAAGCTCAGAAACTCCAATCTGAATATAACCCTAATAAAGATGGTGACCTTCATAAATTTGATATGATTGATGCTAAAGACAAGGTTAGTGATAAGAGGATGGAAGCTGGACAGAGCAAAAGAATCTGGGAAGAGCTTTACAAAGTCTTAGATTCCTCTGATGTCCTAATCCAAGTTATTGATGCTAGAGATCCTATGGGAACTAGAGTAAAACATGTAGAGGAGCATCTTAAAAAGAACTGCCCTAACAAGCATCTTGTTCTTGTTCTGAATAAATGTGATCTTATTCCTACCTCTGTTACTGCTAAGTGGATTAAAATTTTATCAAAGGAGTATCCAACTTTGGCTTACAAGGCTTCAATCAATAATCCATTCGGAAAGGGAAGTCTGATCCAATTGCTCAGACAATTTGACAACTTTCACAAAAACAAGAAGAGTGTCAGTATTGGCTTTATTGGGTATCCTAATGTAGGAAAGAGTTCTATTATTAATTCTCTTCGGAAGAAAACTGTATGCAAAGCTGCACCAGTCCCTGGTGAGACTAAAGTATGGCAATATATCACACTAACTAGAAGAATCTACCTTATTGATTGTCCTGGAATTGTGTATAATATTGGAGATGACGATACTGAGACTGTACTTAAAGGAGTCATCAGACCTGAGAAATTAGAAGCTCCAGATTTCCACATCCAAGCTATTCTTGATAGAGCAGATCAGACTAATATTATCGAAACTTACGGAATAGCTAAATGGACTGATTCTGAAGACTTTTTGGAACAACTAGGAAGAAAGACTGGAAAATTAATGAAAGGAGGAGACGCTAATCAAAATGCCGTAGCAAAACAAGTTATCACCGACTGGCAGAGAGGAAGGATTAGATACATGGTTCATCCATCCCAAGCTCAGATCGAAGAAGCAGAGAGAAAAGAAAAGCCTGTATTTAACCCTGCTCTATTGGTCGATCTTCACAAAAAGGATGATGAAGACGACTTGATCGATATGGATGGTGATGAAGGACTTGAGGCACTTGAAGAAGCTGAAGAAATTAAATAAGGAGAAGACTAATATACATACTAACTTTCAATTTCTCTACTTCTTTTTGGGGTTTTGGGGTTTTGGGGTTTTGGGGTTTTGGGG